ATTATAAGCCTGTGCAGCAGATAAGGCAGGCAGTCCTATTCCAGTTTCAGAAATGGAAGATAGAGGCCAAAAGACAGTAAGGCCCTTCATCTGTTCATTTGATCCCTGATGCCTCCATCTCATCCATGTACCCCTCGCCACTGCCCATCCAGAATTGATTGAGTACCCCCAGGCGCCAGGCCCTGGGGAGACCGAGAGACTCAGACGCAGGCTTGTCCTCAGATAGCCCACAGTTCAGTCGGGGGAATGAGAGGTCCAGAGATAGAGCTATTTAATTCTAGAATCAGCCCTGGAGACCATGGCTTCTGATTTCAAATGTGCAGAACTTTTCAATTCAACTCAGCTTGGAACTTGACCTGGTTCTTGGGAGCAAGCATTAGGCGACCTTCACCCCAGGATGAGGGGAGGGTGCAGGCGACCAGTCCAGGATGTCACAATGTGCTCATGGCCCGTTTACTACCCGACTGCAGCGGGTCATGGCTATTTGAAGACAGCGTGGCAACAGAAACAAAAACGGCCCTGGCTTTCTTCCCCCTACCATCATCGATGTATTTCAGAGTGAAATAGCACGTTTCTGATGCCTTCTACGTTGCTTTTCAACAGAGAAGACAGAAAACTGGGTGGAGGGAAGTGGATGCAGGGGAAGGAACACAGCAGGCATTAGGGTCGGTGGAGCTGGGCTGGGTCGTCCGTTCTCCGTGTGGCCTCCATGTGGCCTGGGGAAGCCCCTTAACCTCTCTGAGGCCCAGGTTCTTCATCTGTGTCATGGGGGAGCAGGACTTGCTTTACTGATTTGCTGGAAAGGTTAGAGACAACTCTATAAAGTGTGCACGGCCAGTGCTGAGCAAACGGCAGCTGTCATTGCCAACCCACCTGACCAAAACCCGTTCCTGGACCCATATGCTACTTCCCGTTTTAAACAATCTGAAATATTTTCTATTTAAAATGTTTAAAATGTTTTATTCTCCCCCCATTTACTATTAAAAATTAATTAGCAACACAGGAACAGGTGCATTGACAAAGTAATTTTATGCCTTTTGAACTTCTCTTCAGAGTTTTTATTTAAATAAACCATCTTATTTAATAGAGTGACTTGTGCCCATGGTGAATATATAGTTTTAAGAGATATACATTTAAAGTAAGTCTCTCGAAATAAAAAATTAAAAAAATAAAATTAATTTCAGCCTGCCAATACTGCTAATTTGTTAGAAAAATAAGTCGATAAGTAGTAAAATCTACATTTGAACTGATGCTATTTGTTAAGAAATAAATAATTTGGTGCACCATCGACAGTTCACATCAATGTGTTTCACATTAATGGCAGATTGGATAAATGCCTGATTTTTGAATATTCATTTTGAGCAATGAGATTGAAGTAAAAAGAATTAATGTTTGTTTTTACTCCCTTGTCAAAGGGTTTGATTTATATTACAGATAATTGTGTGTGCAACTTCTCTATCAGATTGCAAGTTTTTGTTGGCAGAGAGTTGAAAATTCAAAGTGTGAAGAAAGAGGAGAGATAATGAAATTCAATTGAGATGAACTATATGATGAGATGTATTCAGCATCCCACTCCAAGGGCAATAAATTTTTTCCACTGGTCTATCTGGAAAAAAAAAAAAAGTCTCTTGGTTTATATCACTAGTTCTCTAGTGATTCCCCCAGAGGGAACCAGTGTCGCAGTTTCTGGTCTCTTCCTAGGATGCGCTGTGCATGGTCAGGCGTTTATAGGTATATGTGTACTGCATGCACTGTTGTGTACCTTCATTTTTTTGTAACCACCCAATTTATCTTGGATATGTTTTTTTTTTTTATCAGCATATATAAATTGTGCTTTCAAAAATGAGTACCAGGTATTCAAAAATTCACATGTACCAGTGTTTATTTACCAGTGATGGGATTTGATATGTGCCCATCTACAACCTACCACAGACTTTCAGGGAAACTGTTTTCTGGGTGTTTTAGATGGAGTTGTTCATTCAGCTACCTGGAAGATGGATCATCTCTGCCTGAACGACACGGGCCCCAAACCCAGCATGGTGATAGTGGTCTAGGTTCATTCTTCAGCCCAACCGGCAAACTTTTAGAGATGTGTGAAGTCCATTTCTCCCTCTGAACTTGCCATTTCCCAGTTTATAAATCAGAGATTATTGTTTCTTCTCTTTATCTTAAAAATTCAAAAAATTTTACAGGTTTTTCTATTTATAGGCTTATTATAAAAATGCGGAAATCTAGAAAAGCATAAAGAATAAAATGGAAATCTAGAAAAGCATAAAGAATAAAATAAAAATCTGCAGTTATCCCATCCCTCAGAGACAACTGATACAGAAGTGCTGGGAAGGAAAGAGTGTGGCCACTTTAAACGATACAGAAGGGGGAAGGGAAGTGCTGGGGAGAGGAGGGCGTGGTCCCTGACTAGGACTCCACCCAGGGGACCTGCGTGAGGACAGGCATTTTTGTTTCCCTGCCCAAATGTTGCATTTCCCAGGACCACCCTGGCCTGCCATGCCCCCATCCTGTGCCTATAAAAACTCGAGACCCTAGCAAGGCAGAGACAGAAATGGCTGGACGTCGGGAGGAGCACATCGACGGAGGAACACACAAGTGGTGCGTCAAGAGGGACGCACCAACAGGCACCCACACACCGGCAGGCCACCAAAGGCAGACCAGCACGGAGTTTGGCTGGGGCAGTTGGAGGAGCCTTGGGGTGCTGAGAGGCCTGATTCCAGGGAAAAACCATCTCCCTTTTGGCTCCCCCATCTGCTGAGAGCTACTTACACTCAATGAAACCTTGCACTCATTCTCCAAGTGCACATATGGTCCCATTCTTCTGGTACACCAAGGCCAGAACCCAGGATACAAAGCCCTTTGTCTTTGCGACAAGGCAGGGGTCTAATTGAGCTGATTAACATAAGCCACCTACGGCTAAACTCAAAGAGCAGCCTGTAACACACCCCCCCTGGGGCTTCAGGAGCTGGAAACGTTTATCCCTAGACACTGCTATGGGGTCGGAGCCCCACAGCCTGCCCGTCTGTATGCCCCTCTAGAGGTTTGAGCAGTGGGGCACTGTAGAAGCGAGCCACACCCCATCGCACGCTCTGCGAGTGGGACAAGGGAACTTTTCCTGTTTCACAACCACTATTAACCCTAAGGCACCTTCACTTCTGGTGCTCTTTCTGTAGCCCACTGTTGTGGTTTTTGTCTACGACATTAATTATATTTGACCCTTTTTCCCCTGTGGATATAAATTCTGCATAAACAAATTTTAATGGCTGTATACTTTATGGTGTGGCTGTGGCACAATTTATTCAACCAGTCTTCCATACTTAGACATTTTATATTTTTGACTTCATACATAATTCTATGAGAAAGACCTTCACCTCTAAATCTTTGTCCACTCTCCTGTGGGGTGGATTTCATGGTGTGGGATGAGTGGGTCAGTGGTTATTGATCCCTTATCCCTTATATTACATTGATCTATTTTGCCCAAGTGTTCTTCAAGAAGACTGTGCTGATTTTCAGCTGCATCAGCAGTGGGTTGGTGTGCCTGTTTCTCAATACTCTGGATAAGACTATAAATTAAATTTCTTAAAAATCGAGACAAAATATAGCAAGACCTTGTTTAAACATTTATTATTTTATTCCTCTTAGTAATCTATATTTAGAAAAACTTGCAGCCTAAACCAGTTAGGAAAACCAATAGTTGAAAACATTGTAGCAAATCTTTATTGTAATTGTAATAGCACATGGATAAACTCTGATATAACTTGCATAGAACATTTCTTTTTATGACTTCTTGTGGGCAGCATCTTAAATATGGAATAAGTTGGACTCTGGGTTGATTGGAAGCCTCTTTTGCCACAAAACCTTAGCAGAGAAAATAGATTCTCTTTATTGTGACAAACATATTAAATTAAGATTTATATTTACTCTAAAGAGAGATATTTCTCAAATTCTAAGTTATTTGCATTTAAGGAAAAAGAAAAAATGGCAGTAACAGTAAATTATAATGTAAAAAAATTAACCAGAATTGCAAAGTTGAGCTTACTTATTGTTAAAGGATATCAAGGATATCATTTATTCTTTTTAGACTTAAACAATACATCTTGTATTTTACATTATTTTAATGGGAATTACAAGAGATTGAAACTGTTGCATGTGTCTTTGATTACGGCATAGTCTCATGAACACTACTAACTTTGTGTTGGGTTTTGAAAATCTAAGCACTTCCTCTCCCTCAACGCATTGAAATAATAAACTAACACCCCTAAGATTATACTGAAGTTGCCTTAAAACTCAGGAGTGAAATAAGCGGTTTCTATTAACTTTTCAAAGGAATGCATGTTGTTTTCTTTGGGAGATGATCTCGGCTCCCGAGAAAGGGAAAGCAGCTACATTATTTAAGGTAAAATTGTCTGCCTGTTTTCCAAATGGACAAAATTTTCTTTCATTTTACCCATTATAGTAGTGGGAGACATGTTTTATAAAAAGTGGAGTTATGTTCTATTCATCTGGGCATTTTAGATTTTATAAAATGCCCACATTTTTATCAAGCTGCCCAGAATGTCACAACTGTGGAGTTGGAGCCCCACAGCCTGCCGGTCTGTATGCGCCCCCTAGAGGTTTGAGCAGTGGGGCACTGAAAAAGCGAGCCACACCCCCATCGCATGCTCTGCGAGGGGGACAAGGGAACTTCCCGGTTTCACAACCACTGTTAACCTTAAGGCACCTTCACTTTCTGTAGCCCACTGTTGTGGTTTTCATCTACAACAAAACCGTATACACACACACACACACACACACACACACATCTGTCACCAGGCTCTGTGACATTCTGTACAGCTTGATAAAGTCCTCAATAGGGCATGATATGTACTATTGGAGGCTGCTTAGTGCATCCCATTGTTTTTACAGTTCTTTAATTATATATATATTGAATTTTCAGTGTTTCCCCCTGAAACTTAACGTATTAATGGATGCTTTTCTTTTTATCCTTACAGTGTTTTTACAAATGGAAGATTATTTATTCCACCTGCAAAAATCATTATACCCAAATTTAGTCTGTCCGATTGGGACATCGTGCTGGCCACGATCGGAGAAAAAGTCTTCCCTCTAGGAGGCGTTCGGAAGTAAGGAGACTCTCGCCTATAGGACAGCCAGGGGGCGGCTACTTGTGTTTGTTCTTTTCTATGAGAGTTTTCTGCCTGGACCAGCAAGGTCTAAAATGATTCACCATAAACTCTTAATTTTCATTCTTCAAGCAGATAGTATTTTCTCAGTCTTGGTTTTATACTTACTTTTAACCAGCCTCATGGATTTATTCATTCAGCAAACCATTGGGCATCTATTGTGTGCTAGGGGTGGAGAATACAGCATTGCAAAAAGGAGTCTTGCTCCCTGAAACCCCTACTGAGTGGGCCAACCTTTCAAGTTGCTAGAATGCTGCAGTTGGTGTGTGTGTGTGTGTGTGTGTATATATATATATAATGAGGCCTCCCAGTTGGTCTGGAGGAGCCAGGCCTGTGGGAGCTGGTGTTTGGATTGAGTCTTGGCAGAGATGGGGGAAATGAATTTCATGGGACAGAAGAGCACGTGGGAGGGAGGTAGTGTGTGTAATGGCTTCTAGCATGGGCTTGGGGGTCAGACATGGAGCAAATCTCCTCTCCGCTGTCGGTGTCTTTGTTACCTCGGGCACATTCCTAACTCCTCGATGCATGTTTTTTCATCTGGAAAACTGGAAATAATAATACCTACTTCCAAGGGTCCTAATATGTATAAAGTGCTTAGCATAACACTCGATGCATAGTAGGCATGAAATGGGTTTGTGATTATGGTTGTGACAGTCGATGAGGCACAAACAAGCAGAGTGTGTTGAGGAAACACCACAGTGTTGTCACAGGAATTCAGCACTATTGTGAGGGAAGCGGCCAGCCCCGAGGCCAGAACTTAGGTCCCATGAATACCTTACAGACCAGGCAAGGGGCTTGCTGTCTTGCAGCCAGTGAGTCCCATTTGCGTGAACGAAAGCTCACAGTGGTGGTCGTCCATCGTGATGATGGATTGAAGGTGGGAGGTGAGAGATGGGCTATGAGCCAGGTGGCTGTGAGGATATCTGGGTCGGCCTTCAGCTTTAACCACATGCACAGGCTGAAAGTGAAGGGATGGGAAAACTGTCCCATGCAAGTGGAAACCAGAAGAGAACAGGGGCAGCTGGACTTACCTCAGACAAAATTGACATCATGTGAAAAACTGCAGCAAGAGATAAAGAAGGTCACCACATTATGTTAAAAGGGTCGGTCCATCAAGAATATACAACAGTTATAAATAGATATGCAACCATCACTGGAGCACCTAAATATATAATATGCAAGTATTACTAGAACTGAAGGGAGAAGTAGACAGCAATACAATAATAGGAGGCAACTTCAGTACCCCACTTTCAACAATGAATACATCATCCAGACAGAAAGTCAATAAGGAAACCGTGGGCTTGAATAACAATATAAACCCAATGGACTTAACAGACTGCAGAATATTCTGTCCACCAGCAGCAGAATCCACATTCTTCTCACGTGGACACAGCATTCTCCAGGATAAATCATATTAGGCCACAAATCAAGTCTTAGCAAATGTAAGATTGAAATCATATCGAGTATTTTTTCTGACCATAATGATACAAAACTAGAAATCAGTAACAGGAGGAAAATTGGAAAATTCACAAATATGTGGAAATTTAACAGTGCATTCCTAAACAACCATTGGGTCAAGGAAGAAATCAAAAGGGAAATAAAAAAATATCTTGAGAGCAACAAAAATGGAAATAAATACTAGAACTTACGGGATTCAGCAAAACCAGTTCTAAGAGTGAATTTTATAAAGAAAATGCCTATATTGGTCAGGCGCGGTAGCTCACACCTGTAATTCCAGCACTTTGGGAGGCTGAGGCGGGTGGATCACCTGAGGTTAGGAGTTCAAGACCAGCCTGGCCAACATGGTGAAACCCCGTCTCTTCTAAAAATACAAAAAATTGCCAGGCGTGGTGGTGGGCATCTGTAATCCCAGCTACTTGGGAGGCTAAGGCAGGAGAATCACTTGAATCCGGGAGGTGGAGGTTGCAGTGAGCTGAGATTGCGCCATTGCAATCCAGTCTGGGCAACAAGAGCAAAACTCTGTCTCAAAAAAAAAAAAAAAAAAAAGAAAAATGCCTATATTAAGGAAAAAGAAAGATCTCAAACAATCTAACTTTACACCTCACTTTTATTAACAGAATGAAAGAGATCACTTGATCATCTCAATAGATACAGAAAAGGCACTGGACAAAATTCAACAACCTGTCACGATCAAAGCTCTCAGCCAATGAGTATACAAAGAATATATCTCAACATAATAAAAGCCAAACACGACAAGCCCACGGTTAACATCATACTCAACGGTAAAATGCTGAAAGCTTTTCTTCTAAGAAACAAGATAAAGGTGCCCCACTTGTACCACTCACATTCAGCATAAGGCTGGAAGCCCTAACAAGAGGAACCAGATGAGAAAAAGAAACAAAAGGCATCCACATTGGAAAGGAAGAAGTCAAATAATCTGTTTGCAGATGATATGATTTTATATATAGAAAACCCAAGACTTTACCAAAAAACTGTTAGGATAAAAGAATTCAGTAAAGTTGCAGGTTACAAAACCAACATACAGAAATCACTTGTGTTTCCACATAATCTCACAAGCTATCTGGAAAAGAAATTAAGAGAAAAATCCCATTTACCAAAGCACCAAAAAGAGTAAAATACTTAGGAATAAATTTAACCAAGCAAGTGAGAGCTCTCTACACTGAAAACTATAAAACATTGATGAAAGAACTTGAAAAAGATACAATAGATGGAAAGATATTGTGTTCATGGATTGGAAGAATTATTATTCCTCCAATATTGTACTGGAGCAACCGCACCAATGAGAGTTCTTTTCTGAGGTGGGGAGTCCTGCAGAGGAGCAGGTTTGGTTGTTGATAACAAGTTAAAGAATCAACTAAGACATGCCTGTGGGACCCCCAGGCCTGGGCTGCAGACGGAGATGGAAGCTGGAGTTTTCGAGTGGGGATGTTTGAACTCAGTAGTCGGTGGAGCTCTGTGTGGATGAGACCCCCGGAAGCTGGCCTGGAGAAGGTGGGCAGCTCAGGTGCCTGTGGGGTCTTCCATCAACTGCTTGTCACTTTGTGAGAATGTGGGGCTGTTGTGGTCAGAGTTTTCACAAGAAGGCAGAAACGTCAAACCATGTAAAACAAAGACAAGAATCATCCTCTCATGGGTTCTTTTTATGCCCCTGTTCTGTCCACAGGCAAGGTTTTGGGTATCCTATAAGGGCAGCTCTGTTTTCCTTGGCATCTCTCTGGCCTCAAGTTCGTGCCCTTGTGGTCCTGATGCTGGAATGGGTTTCCACCTCTATGTGGCCCTGCCCATTGGTGCCTCATCTGACCACGTGGCACTTGATCCTGCCTTTGCCCCGGATGCGGTTTCTTGAATTCTTTTTGCCTTGTGTTCTGTGGCTATGGACTCCTGGCTCTCTGCCTGTTCCCAGTCCTGGATCCGCCAACTAGCTGGGGGTGGAGTTCTTGGGGGTAGTTTGGAGTGGGAGATAAAGGGAAGCCACAGAGGGGCGTGCAGAAGAGCTGCAGACTCCGGAGTGGAGGCAGCGGCCTGGGAAGGCACAGCCTGGACGCCTGGGCCAGATCAGCTTCCAGCGACCACCACAGCTGAGGCCAGGGAGACGAGATCTAGAATGTGCTCTCTGCCTGCACTTAGCAGGTGGCCACCGGCACTGTGAGATGGAAGCCAGGTCCTGTGGGCGGGCTGGAGTGGTGGGTGAGAAAGCAGAGGTGGGAGTGTAGGGGGTACATGTCTGTGGAACAGGGAGAGAGGGTGATGCGGGCTTGTGGCTTGAGGGGCTAAGAGCAAAGATGTGGTCACTGCTGAACACGAGGGGCCTGAGCACACCTCTCTCCCGAGGGAGAAGGTGCAGGAAGGAGGCGCATAGGAGCCAGACCCTGAGCAGGTGGAAGAGGTGAGACCTGGAGGATGGGTGGATGCGTAAGCCGTGCAAGGTGGGGGAGCCACCCTTCCTGCAAGGCAGGGGCGGAGATGAGGATTGGTGCAGGTACAGAAAGCTTTAAGGTAGGAGGGAAGGAAGGTGGCAAACTAATGCCTAATGGACTCTAAAAAGGGAGAAGGCTGTGTCTTGCGAATGGACAGAAGGAGAATGGGGGCAGCGGGAGGGACACGGAGTGGGAGGGTTGCCAAGCAGGGTTGAGGGCCCTGCTGGACTGCGCGCTGAAGATTTGTAGCGGAACCAGCCTGCAATTACATGTACTCTCGGGCACTCAGAAGCTGGGGACGAGAGAGGAGAAGGCAGATGGGCGGTTGGTCCACGAGGTGAGGGCAGGGAGGGACAGGCAGGGACGGGGGCTCATGGCGCAGCAGTCGAAGCCATTGCTGGTGTGGACGTGAAGCCAGAGCCAGTTGGGCGGCGTCAGGCCCAGGGTCCGGCTGTTGGTGCAGATTAGAGGAAGGTGAAGTGGGAGAGTGGGAGGCCGGGAGGCCAAGAGGCAGCAGAGGCAAGGTCGAGACATCCACCTGGGGACGCTTCTGGGCGATGATGAGGTGTGAAGGACTGCCCTGGGAGGGGCTGAGAAGGCGCAGGGGAGATGAAGATCTTCCAGGCTGAGAAGTGGGAAAACGCCGTGCAGCAAGGAGAGTTAGGAGGAGCCCGCCGTGGGCAGCAATGGTCCCCTGATGGTAGCCGCTGTGGAGGAGGAGCAGAAACAACAGTTAATCCTGCCTTATGCTTTTGTCAATTTACTCTCCCATGGGGGTAGATTAAAAACATTCAAGAGTGATTTACAGTCAACAGTTGTGATACCATCAGTGAAAACTGATGTCCACTTTTGAGTAGGATGTAAACTGTTGAGCCGTTTAGAGCAGTGGAGCGATGAACAACCTCATGGCAGTGGCGACGAGCGGGTGGTAGTTAGATGCTTGTGCACAAATCTGTACCGGGAATACCTCCATACTCCCAGAATGCAGCTATAAATATTAGTGTATTATTCTCAAAGAAATAAGGCTCTATGCAGTAGATA